AGAACCCAGTGGAAAACACTATTTTCCCACGCTTAACCGATGGCAGCCGACTCGTACTGTAAACTGGTGGCTCTGGATTCAACACGCGAGCTACTTTGGTCGAGGACGAATTCAATACCGCCACAACAACTTCTATGAGGACGGCACAATGTGAACGATTTTTTATAGTATTACCATCACCATCGACTCGAGGAGATGATAAGCTTCCATCCATGGTTATGCCTCCAAAATTGCTTGAATTTTCCGACGACACAAGACAATCTGAAGGGAATACGCTGCTTTTCAGAAATTTCGGATTGTTGCTCCTCACCCTTCATACTCTTCTAAATTGAGGACAGTCAGTGCACTCAGCCAGTTCGTAAGCGTTCTTCCTTGCCCAAGCAAGCGCTCAAGCAGTTCGTAGGCGTCCTTGCTTGAACGAGCTGTCTGTTTCGAGGTTTCTAAGGCTCTTCCTTTTTTCGTGACTCCACAATAAATGATAAAGAAGTTGGAGCCTTCACAAGTGGCAGTTCAGACGCCTCCCAAGTTTTTCCGCCCACCAAAACTCAAAGGCGAGTCCCATGCGCCTCGGGAGTTGCGAATCGGGTTCGCTCCACCGCTGATTGTTGAACTTTCCAGCTCGTATTTCAAGGGCATTGATAACAGAACCACTTTCAGTCTTCTGCAGCGGTTCAATCATTAGCAGTGGAGCATGATCAGCCGCAGGATCGCGCGTTCAAGCCACGAAGAATCAGCGCTGCTCCAGGGCTTCATCTGTTTCACCGTCTTGTCCTCGACAGTTTCTCGCCCGCAGAAATTCCAATTTCATCTTAAACATGTGCGCTATTTTTCAGTTATACACCTGTTGCGCCTGTCGATTTATTGAATTAGTAGTGAATTATGAATTGAATCTAGTGAATTATGCCGAAAGAAAGCCAAATGTGGTGGTCGCCAAATTCCTTCGAATTGAGCGCAGTGCGAGTTAAAAAGTTAGTAAATAAGAAAGACGGAATGCGAGAACCAGTTCCATTCCATCTCACTCGACATACCATTGCTGTGACCTATGGTCCACCTTCACTAATCTCATTACTAATGCGAATTCATCACAATTTTGAAAAAGTACTTTTAACCTTTCCTATTTTTCGAATTTCAAATAAGAGTGAATCAACCACTGCGTCCTTGTACGCTTCTGCGCCATATTCTTTTCGAAGCTTGATGGTGGGCGAGATCCGAAGGGTGGAATAGGTGAGAATCGAGAAGGGCGCAATCTAAAGGCGCTAAGCAGATTCAATACCGAATACCAGCTTATGTGAAGCTATTGGGAAAGAATCGCATTTATTGGAACCGTCCTGATTTCGGATGGGAAAATGAAGAAATCTTCTCTCTTTCAGGGTGACGATTTTGTGACCGAATGCGTCCTGAGCGATATGGGCCAGTTTGCTGGTTGGGAGCCGGAGATCTTCATCTCGTACAACCACGGGAAAGCCAACGATCGTGTCTATCTGAATGACGTATGTTCCTATAGATTCCGCCTTTATTGCGAGGGTCTCGATTTTTTATTTTGTTCATTCTTTTTCATGTTGTATAAGGCACACAGGGTCCACAACCTTTTGCCTGTAGGATATACAATATCACAGTCATCCGGGTACAGTAATCACGGTTTCGGTAAATGATAGCGTCTTTCCTACGGACCTACGCAACAAGTCATCGGCGCAGAACAATCAGAAGCCCCGCCGTCCTTGTCACGCACTTCTTTGTGGGGAAAGTCTGTGCCCCTGCTTGAGGAAAGCGCGACCACCTCGTGACGAGGCCACGGCCCCGCCCAGTGGCCACGACAACGCCCAACCATCGATGGAGAAGTAATCGTGGTGGAGCTACTCCGCCACTAAACCACTCCTTTTCAAGTGGAAAGAAGGAGAGAGAGAGAGCTGACATCAGTAAGTGAGACCTCAACCGACGATGCCTTTTCTGCTGCTGGAGCCTGTCCACGTAATGCATGGAACGATTTCTACGTATTATCTAGTTGTGCGATCATTTCCTCTGCAAGTTCCCCATTTCAAAACTTGAAGTCACGGTAGATCACTGCGAGCCTTTTTCTCCTTCTCATTCGTTCTTACCGATGCGTCCTGCAGATGCAAACTGCTGCGAACCTATGCAATATCATGAGCTTTAGATAACTAGTCTCGAAACTGGAAGGTACAGATCAACCGAAATCCATTGAAAGAAATCAGCTAAGTAGCAGAAAGCCACTCTACTCCCCCCTATCTATGAAGCCAATCAGCGTCGGTTTTCCCTTCTGGAGCCTTTGGAAGCTGCCGGCCATGGGAGTGCCCATCGCGATGACGGACGATCGTGGAGGACGTTGATCTTACCATTGATGAGGAGTTCAAATCTTCTAATTACGATATCTCATTTGCAAAATGAAATTTTCAGAATGAAATTATGCATGGCCATGGAGACCTCGTTCATGAGTGATTCATGAGTCTCGTTCTACAAAAGAGTAGTCGAAAATTCCATGGCGTGTTCTAGGGAAAGTGAGCCTAGAGACACTCAGAAAGATTGTTGGATTTTTATAAAACATTTGGGCATACTGAAAACTTGCTTTCGAGCAACTCAAGCGCATTTGCCTATACAAGTAGTTAGCAATCCTCTGTTTATGAACAATAACCGCTCGAGCGAAATCGACTCACTAGTGGCACGACTCCCTCGGGGTGCCGTCAATTCCCTGGTCAAGTTTCACACGAATCAATCAGACGTTCCACCACTCCATTGACCGGATCCATCACCAGAATCGTCTATAGGAGACAGAGTTACGTGTCGCCTAGCCTCTGCAGTCGCCAGCCTCTCTTTTGAATGCCTCTGGGACGTGGGTCCCAGAAGCATTCAAAAGCCACTGCGGTCCCGAATGGGAATCGACAGCGTGATCCATTCTTAAAAAGGATCAAATACGTCGGGTGACTCGTTGTTGTTGTTTGATGTGTCGAGTACATGCTTTTCAGACCATGAGAGTGCGTGAAACCTTTTCTGAATCAAAAATTTTTCTAACCAGCATTAACTTTTAGGATGAGCACAAGCAATTGATTTCAAACGTCTCTTCTCAAGTCGTAGACGGTCGACTGGTCTGTCACTTCACGCAGCAAATTGTGCCCCAGATAGACCGTCGTAACGGGCTTCTTTGGAGTCTCGACAAGCCTTTCTATATCATGGGTGCGACTGGTTCGGCACAACCAGATGGTAAGTTCACCTTGTCTGCTTTCTTTTTTTTCAATCTATGTTCCAATTATTGAGAGGAGTTCCAACCTAGCTGTCTGTAAAACAACCCCGCGATGAGCGGACGGGTTATCGAATGGGCGGGGACACACAACCACTGTGCATTCCTAATGCACCCTTCCTTCTGGTACTGTAAAGAGCAGGCGCACCAATGAGGAAAAGAGAATTTTGTGAGGCAAAAAAGGTCCAAGACTAATATCTGAATAAATAATTGGATCAACTGGGAACTGGTCTCCTTCTGCCTGACATGAGTGTGGACTCGTGACCTTTGGCCCACCTTGGGCTCTTCAAAAAACTCTTTGACCTCCGATCTCGAAAAAAATATGAACTAGAGGTTTCCTGAAGTTGATCAGGTTCTAATTGATGAATGTTCTAGAAGTGAATGCTCACGACACCAACCGCGGCTCCCACTTCTATCCGATTGTATCATCAGCGAGAATAAACCCAGCTGCTATTGGCGGGAACAAAGTAGGTTTGCAACGTAGTGTTGCTGGGTTACCGAGCATGTGGAGCCGAGGAACGACGTCAAACGTTCATTTTCTTCTTCCCGCATTTAACACAGTGAAGCACGCGGGAAGTAGAGGGAGCACCAATGATGTCGTTCCCTGGCTCCGCCCCGGTAATTCCGCACATTGTTCTCAACGGACAGGTATCGATACCTTTTCATTGTATAATGGAATGTCACTGTTCACTTGACCCAACTTTTTATTTCAGTTCCCTCTACCAATGAAGACCAGAGGTGAAGCGTCAAATTCTGATAGCACTTCCTCGGTTACATCTTCAACTCCGTCTGCAGAAGCCTCTTCCACTATCGCTCTGCAGCGTGAAAGTTCGTCCGTTTCCTCATCGAACGACGAAGACTCGTCCACAGATAAGGGAGCCCCATCCGTAACCTTCTCCGGTACGGACAGCTCAACAGCTTCATATTCGGGAAGCGAAAGTTCGTCCATTGTATACTCGGGAAGCCAGCAGCCGCTTGCCTTTGCATCCCTTTTCCTTATCGTATTACTTCTCCGGCTACTATAATTGCCTTTTCTTCTAGAGATAACCAATTAGTTTGGTTAAACCTTGAGTCATAAATGAGCTTGGTTGTTCTGGGATATTTTTCCTCATTGCCTTTTTTCATTGCCTCTCTAGGGTAGCTTCCACAGAAATTCGGGATATTTCGGGAGGGGAAGTCGTAGTGCCAATTTTCGTTACAGAAGTAGCAAGTAAGCGGCGTGACTCCCGCCCTGCTTTCAGAATGCTTTCACACTTGGCGATCCGAAGTTCGAGCGATCCAGTCGCCCTTTATATTCTCTGGAGGGAGCCGCGGGTCCGGCGTGCGGATCGCGAAGTATGAACGCGTTCTAGCGGAATGACCGCATAACCTCACTGCTTTTGGGCAGAACCACTTCGCTGCTTGCTATTGCTAGGACTAGCAGAAATTCAACAGGAAACCGTGGGTCGATCAGTTGCAGGTTTGCGTCTTCTTCTTGTTTTTAACGGGATGTAAACAGGATAAGAATGTAAAGTACCTCACCAGGGATTAATATGAGGTGCAAAGTTTCTGTGGAAGTTCCCCTTCATTTCTTTTTGATATTGACCATTGAGATCTACAGCATCTAGAGTACAACAGTTGTTCATAAAGTAACATTGTCAGGTAGTAAAAATCCCGGTGTTTTTACTCTAACAATTTTCCAAGAATTTCTTTACGGGTGTGTACTGTACATATGAATGTTTTCTCAACGTTAGTAATACAGAGTTTGTATCATGCTGAAAGTTGTCGATATTGAATAAAAATTTCTTGTCTGAAATTTGGTCGCCATTCGGTTCGAAAGGCTCCGCATATAGTGAACACATCAAATTTGACCATGCAATCTCGAACGGTTACGGGGCACTTGCCAACCAGACGTGCTCTTGTTGCAAGGGTCCAGGGGTATTTTCTCAAGGCATCTATATCCCAGTAGTTGAAGGGAGAAGGTAAAAGAGGAGGGAACAGAGAAGGAAGGAAGGAAAAGAAGGAAGGAGGAAGAAAAAGGAAAGAGAAGAGAGGCTTCCCGGTTGACAAGTGCCCTGAGACGAATCACGTGCGTACACTATTTTAAAATGAAGGGAGATATGTCAAAAAGAAATCGGAACATTGATTCTCTGCCGCTAGACCAGGAGCACGGGCTGTGGTCGCGCACTGGATGTACAGCAGCGAAAAAAACCTGGAACAAGCAAAAAAAACCGGAATTTCCTATCAAATCATATTTTGACTTTTCTTAATTTGTGAACTGAGATATCTTTGATATAGATGAAGTATGCCTGGAGGACTGTAGGATGTACATTTCCAGTTCGGTAAAAATGACCTCAAGCAAGCGCAAAATTACGTGAGATCTAGATTCCGGCACCAAGGCCAGCATCAGGATGAAAAATGACCGAGTAAAGGCCTTCACCTCAACCCCATCAGGCATCTTTGAGATGACTTGAAGCATGAGTCACGGGGAAGAAGATCACCAAGACGAGTCCTATGCATTGTAATGGATTTGGAGTTGGATATCCGTGGATACCACTGAAGCTCCTATGGAGTCGATGCCATAGATGATAAAGAGTCTAATCAAGTCCACTAGCAATTGAACCGTATTCAGAGAGCCGAATAGTTCTTACTTGTTCAATACTCGCTATGTGCTTACCTTTTCACTGTTTTGCTGTTGAATAAGATTTTCAGAACTACTTGAAACGCGATTTTGTGGTTTGTTTCAAGTTATTTTTCCGCAGCTGTATGATTGTCCCTTTTCGTACTCTTTTTATCTGTTCTTGTTAAAATTTGATTTGTTAGTTTTAACATTCGATTTCTTACTAGCACGGTTCCATGCCTTGCTGGCTTTGACGCACTCAGAATGTAATAAATAAATAAATAAATAAATAAATAAATAATAAATAATTTAATAATAAATAAATAAGTAAATGAACTATTGGGATGACAATGACAATGCAAACGAACGACGACACGGAAAATGCGGGCCGGCATGTAATGGAGGCCCATAGGCTGAACACTTCAGCTTCCTGCACGTTGCCCAATTCAAGACTAGTACTTTGCAGTGATCTCCTTCAGCGTTCAGTCACTTATTTTTGTTCTCTTCACTCCAAATCATCAACCGCCGTACTTTTTCAAAGAGTCTAATCAAGTCTTTCAAGTCAAGTTTTTCAAGCTTGCAGTATTGCTCTGCAACTTCATAACTCCATCAGAACCCAAAAAATGAGTTCCAATCTCTACTCTTTTGAATGGCGTGTAACCTCCGCGATCGGGTACGGGCTCGCCTTTCCACATTCAAGACATCAGTTTGAGGCGTAAAGCAGGATGAATTGGTGCTCGGCTAAAACGGTAGTGAGATTGCCACATAGTGGGAAAATGGGAAAAAAGCGAAGTGAAAGGTAAAAAGCCTGCCAAAAGCCCACGACCTAGGAAGTGATTTTGGACGAGTATCCCGTTGGCATCGTGCCAATACAGTTTCATTTGTGCACTCGTATATCCATGCAGCACCGCATCGCTTCATATCAATCCCTTAGCTTCGTACTGTACTTCGCAAATGACGCGATCGAGCATCAGCATCGGTCGGACATCTGAGGGCGGGCGAACGCGGAGGGCGTCCGGGTCGGTACGTTGCAGCTTGATAAGCGCAGCCTTGGAGAAGGCTCAGTGCAGCAGGCGAATCCTGTCCCTGGTGCCTCACACGTGTTGGGAACTTATCGTGCCGCTTGCCCTTAATTACTCGCAAATTTTGTGCACTTCAGATCCTAAGCCCGATCCACGTCACGAAATAATATCATCTATTTTGCCTTGCCACATGATTTTCATCACTCTGAGTAAGCCTTGTTGTTTCTTGTCCTATATCGTTTCCTCCTGAGCCTCCAATACCGCGACGACACATCATGAGCCTCACGGAACTAACAATGAGTCACAAGCATACCACACCTCCTTTCTTGACTATACCAACGCGTCCTTATTTCAATTAGTGACCTAACCAGTACTTTGCAGTGATCTCCTTCAGCGTTCTGTCACTTAATTCTGTCCTATTCAGTCCAAGTAATCACCCGCCGTACTTTTTCAAGCTTGCAGTATTGCTCTCAGATCCATCGAACCCCAAAAATGAGTTTGTTTGGAACCATTTCGACCAATAACTTTTCTGTAGGTTGACTGGAGTGAAGTTTTGACCTATTGGTTGCTATGACTCTAGGCTATAGGCGTCACCGTCACCCGCTCGGCACCAAAGGCCTGGCGCCTGCTCCACATGGCAGGCAGTATGGGCCACTATTAGAGCAGGTGCTCGTAAGTAGCAGATGTATCTGCGCCTCTAAATAGCGAGTCCGGAGAACTGGGTAAAATCGTTTCAGAGGAACTGATAAAGGCGAATTAATGTAAATAAAGGTGCAGCACTTACAAACGTCCATTTTCCCAGTCCTCGTTCCTATCTAAAATCGCCATATGACACGTATTTGTGCTCCTTCTCCGTGCTTCTTCTAATTGTCTGTTTCTCCGTTGCACGACAGAGTCTCTTTGTGGTATGCTCGCCTCACACAATGTTCGAAGACAAGCTGTACACTCACCTTGAAGTACAGTCGTTTGCGAGAAGAACTTGTTGACAGCAGCAAAATTGTAACGCTTTCGTCACCTGAGAGCGCATGAAAATGATGATGAAGGCTGGTACCCGGGCGCCGCAATATCTTCAATGTGCAGCACTAGCGACGGTACCAAAAGCCTTCAGCGAATGCGCAGGTAGAGGTGTGAAAGAACCAGAAGTGAAAGGGAGCAGAGAAGAAGGGCGTTTAGCTATGATTAGGCATTTCTAATTCTGGCGGTTGGTCAAAGGTGCCTACCTCACCATCACCCAAGGTGCTTCCTGCCGTTGGGGAATATTTTTGGAAAATACGAGCCACTTCGAAATCTGTTCTTCACCTATGACCCTCATCCTCATCCTTCCTTCGTATCTTCCTGAATTTTCCCAACATTTACCACTTTCTCGGAGTTCTTTCCTGTAAATTCCCGAGTTTGTCCTCAGGGCACATCATTGG